GTGGAGAACCAGTACTCCTTCTACTAGCCCGGCGCCACGGCCCTGGGGCCACCGGACCCGCCTGGCAACCGCCCTCGTGTCCGTCCGTCCAGCCACCCTGCTTCCCTGCAGGTGTCAGCCCCAGTCCAGCGCTGGGTGGGAAAAGCGAAGCTCTTCAATGAAGACATAAATGTTATTAAAGAGCCTGTTTTAGGGACTGCACCTGGCTCTCCTGTCGTCCTTTCTTCTGTCCTGACCAATGGGCACCGCTCCTTCTGGGACTAAAGGGGAGAAGGGGGTTCCACATATGGGACCCCCTATGAAGTCCACCGTGTCCTGGCGCCTGCCAGGCCCCCACCCAGCTCTGTATTAGGGGACCCAGCTCCCCATTTGGCTGGGGAGACAACTGGCAGTAACTAAATGAGGCACAGAGATAAAACGCTGGGCCAAAGAGCAGGGCTCAGGGAGACTGCCCAGGGGGGAGAGATGGGAAGGGGCTTTATAATGGAGCTATGAGAAAGGGGTTGGGCAGAGATGAGTGAGCAGGGGCAAGAATGAGAGAGGGTAGGTGAAGGAGGGAGGGGGCCCCTGGATGAGGGTACAGGGTAAAGGATGGGGAGGAGGGGGCAAATCCTGGGCCTGGAATACCAGGATGAGGAGATGGACCCTAGCTAGGAGACAGGAGTGTCCTTGGGCAGGTCATGGGGGTGCAGCGGGATTTCTGCACATTAGCCCATTGGGGGATGGACAGTGGGTGAGGCTGGTTTGCCAACTTTGACCTAGACTCAAACTTGGAAGTGGCCTAGAGGGCCCTCCTACATGCACCTTCCCCCCTACCACTAACCCCTGCTTCCCTGCAGGTGGAGGCTCAGCTGCAGCTCGGGGTCTCCAGGCCCTGGAGACACAGCCTGCTCAAGGTCCCCACTCTCCAGCCCACAGGTAGTGCTCCCTCCGAGGAGGGTCTTGTTCCTGCTGAACCAAAGGGCACCTTGTCCTCCCGTGATCCAAACTCTGCCTCCGCACCTGGGGCACAGACCCGTGGTTCCCCTGGCCAGGGGCGAGTGTCCTTGCAGGGTCTGCGTCTGTGCTGTGCACGTCAGATCCCCAGACAGCTGATCCTCCCAGGACTGCACCTGGGTACCCACATGCCCTTCCCCCATGTGAGGGCACTAGCACCCTCAGTGGCCAGTCCTGACTCACAAAATGACTGGGAAGGGACTGTGCAGTGCTTCTGCTGCCACCACGGAGAGCAGCCTGTACCCTGGCTTCCGGCATCTCCATCCATGTGGCTGGATCCCCTCTGCACTGTAGACCCTGTGCCCTGGTGGTTTGGGGTCCATGCCAGGCCACGTGCAAGCCCCAATCCCACCCTGATAGGAGGAGAGGAGGGTCTGGGCAGAGGCCAGGGGCTGGTGAAAGCTCCATTTGGCTGCCTCTGCCTCTGTCAGCTGAGCTGCAGACATCACCCCCAAACCTAAGGCTTCACCCTTTCTCCCTTGGTGGATTTGCCCCTCGGAATAGTTCAGGGTGGCCTCAAGGGTGGGGTTAAAACTTGACACACACAGCGTGTCATCATTCAGGCCCTTCTGTCCCCTCCTAACAGTCAGCCACAATGGAGGTCACTTTACCTGCCAAGTGCCAAAGCAGGAATCTAGGCCTGGATTCCTGTCAGTGAGGCACTGACAGCTGTAACCTTGCTGAACTGGGGGTCCCGAGTATGAGAACGTTGGAGGGGGTCTGCACCCACCCTAAGGGTGGCAGCCAGGCATTGTTCCTAAGATGTTCCCAGTTAAAATGAATTTAGGGGAGAATAAAAGAGGAGATGACGTCCACCATCTGGGGCTCCCCCAAGGGACGTTGCACTAAAACCCAGCAGCAGGTGGTCAAGTGAAAAGCGGGCTCTCTCCAGTGTGGTCCCACGAGGAAACCCTCAGGCTTGTCACTCGAAGTGGTGCTTCCAGAAGCCAGACTCGGTAGGACCCCAGAGAAACCATAGCCGTTGCACAGATGGCGGCAGCATTTTCAGGGGCTTCCTTTGCTCCTCTGCGAGCATTTCAGGTGCCTGCTCTGTGTGCCAGGCCAGGCACATGGGGAGCTGGGCAGGCAGCCAGGCAGGTCCATCAGAGTGTGATGGGCAGCCACAGAGGGTGGGAGACTGCAAATGCAAGGGGCAGGGAGAGGGACACAGACCAGCAAGGCTGAAAGGGCCTGAGTGTCAGGCCAGAATTCAAGGGCTTTCGTGAGCAGAGCTAGTTTGAAATGGGAGCTGGAATGGGGTCAGGTTTGTGTTTTAGACAGATCATTCTGGGGCCAGGGTTAGGGGTGGGAGGATGGGTTGGAAGGGAGGAAAATGCGGCCAGGGGTCCAGGGAGTCTGCAGTAAGTCTGGAGGAGGAACAATGATCTGGGCCAGGGCGGAAGAGGAGAATGGTGAGGAGGAAAGATCACCTAAGGCTGATGGCAGGACTGGGGAAAGATGGGGGATCTCTGGCTTAAGGCTTGGAGAACAGTGCGACCCCTGCTGGAGGCTCCACCTGAGAAGGGCTATGGAGAATGTGGAATTCAATGGAAGAAATAGACATCTTGCTATCTCCAGCAAGGACCTCCCAGGAACTGTCGGTCTCTGTCTAGCCCAGAACCACACCATCCAACACTTTGCTGTCAGATCTCCCAACTCTTTCTTCGAATAAGAGATGGGATTAGGTATTCCCTACCTGAGCCACAGAAGGGTGATTTTGACTACCGGAAGTCTCCAAGATGAAGAGCTCAGAGCCATGGAGAGGTAAGCCACTGCCATTGATACACTCT